GCTTCGAATAGTCCGCCACGGCGCGGAGTTTCGCCGGATCTGGGAGAACACCCTCTTTGCAGACGACGTGACCCAGTATAGTGAGCTGACGTGTGGCAAAATGGCACTTCTTGATGTTAAGTTGAAGGCCAGCAGAGGTGAGACACGTGAGAATAGCACGAAGACGAACAAGGTGAGTCGAAAAGTCGCGAGAAAAAACGACGATATCGTCTAGATAGCAAAGGCACGTGTTCCACTTGTAGCCGCGAAGGATGGTGTCCATCATACGTTCGAAGGTAGCTGGGACGTTGCAGAGTCCAAACGGCATGACGTTGAACTCATACAGCCCATCAGGTGTTACAAATGCAGCCTTCGATCGGTCAGGATCAGCCATTGGAACTTGCCAATATCCTGAGCGTAAATCTAAAGAGGAGAAATATTCTGCTCCTTGCAAGCAATCGAGTGCATCGTCGATGCGTGGCAACGGGTACACATCCTTCCGAGTTATCTTATTGAGCCGGCGGTAGCCGACACAGAATCGGATAGACCCATCCTCTTTGCGCACAAGTACAACTGGGGATGACCAAGGGCTCTGCGATGGCTGGATGACACCACGCTTGAGCATATCGTCGACTTGTTCGTTGATAATACGGCGCTCTTCCACTGAAACTCGATATGATCGTTGGCGTAAGGGAGCATGAGTACCGGTGTCAATGTAGTGCGTGATGTTCGCTGTGCGACCCAAAGATGGTTGAGCGCAATCGAACGCACAACGGAACTCTCGAAGAAGGGATAAGAGCTCGCGTCTTTGTGTCGGCGATAGCTCAGCGGCAGCAGATGGCTGGAATGAGTCTGGCGCGGGCAGTGTGGCCACAGGTGGCGTCATAGCATTGAGCGGCAGGTGAGGTGGGTGTTCGGCAAACTCCAGAGGGCTTAAGAGGTCAACGTCTTGTATGTTACCCAAACATTCTCCGCGAAGTAAGGTAACTGGCGACGACAGCGAGTTCGCAACGAGCATGGCGGTAGCACCGGATTCCACGTTGAGTACGGCAAAGGGCAGGTGTAGGCTACGGCGGCGGGTAAATACGTCAGACGGAGTGAACAAAACAGTTCCGGCAGGAGCGGCCATACAGGTCAGGGCTACAAGGGTGGATGTTCTCGGTGCTATTTCCGTGTCTACAACAACGACAAGTTTGTAAGCTTCAGAAAGAGAATCCACCAAACAAGAGGTTGGCAGCGGTGTAAGGGCAACTTCTGCACGTGAGCAATCTATGATGGCCCGATGAGGCGAAAGAAAGTCCCATCCAAGAATGACTTTGTGGGAGCATGATGCCAGCACAAAAAATTCAATGGCATAAAGTTCACCTTGGATAATGACACGTGCAGTGCACACAGCTGTAGGTTCTATGCACTGCGAGTTGGCCGTGTGGAGCATCAGGCCCGAAAGAGGCGTCGTCACCTTTTTCAACTTGCGGCATAAGGTTCCACAGATTATGGAAACGGCGGCCCCTGTGTCGATAAGCGCTTGTGCGGCGGTCCCCTCAACATTGACATCAATAACGTTTTGCGGCGAGAAAGATGGAGGCCTTAAGCAGTTTGAATTGTATGCAGCTGTTGCCTCCGGAGCTACAGCGATCAGTTTCCCTCTTCCGTAGCAGGTCGGCGACGCATAGGTGACAGGGAGCGTCGTCGGGGCGATGGTGACCGATGGTTTGCGTAGGGTCGAGGACCGTCGGTGGTGTACCTTGATGGCGTCCTAGACGACGACGCCATTGGCCTGCCCTTGGTGTCGACTGGAGGGGGATCTCGGCGACAGTGGCGGGCGACGTGTCCAGCAATACCACAGGCGAAACAGATGGGCCTATTATACGGCGTCCTCCAAGCGTCTGAGCGACGGTAAAATGGAGCTAAAGATCTCGCATAGGGATACGGCATAGCAATCGGGGTTGTAGGCACGACATAGGGTGGCGTGGCAGGTTGAGCATACGGCATACGCTGTTGCGTAGGCCGAGCAGCGACGGCGGCGTACGTGAGAGGCGTAGTGACTGGTGGTTGCTGATGCATCGGCGGAAGGGCCTCAGTGACTTGGGTCCGAATGACGTGTTGGAAGTCCGATGCCAAAGCTTCCGTGGGCTCATGTGTCAGTGGCAGCAGTGACAGATGGCGCGCTATCTCTTCGCGGATGAAGTCCTTGATTGTCGAAAGCAGCGGCTGCTGATCGGTAGGATGGGCAGCTAAGTGCAAGCTTGCGAGCGTGTCTGGCGTCGTGAGGGCTTGACGAGCAATTGCGCGCTGCCTACGCAATTCATCGAAGCTTTGACAGAGGGAAACGAGGACAGCAATTGTGGGGGGATTTCTCGCGAGCAACATCTGAAAGGCGCCGTCGTCAATGCCTTTCAATATTTGCCTGATTTTTTCTTCCTCAGGCATGGTAGAGTTGATGCGGTTGCATAGATGCAACACATCTTCAATGTAGCCTGTGTAGGTCTCGCCTGGTTGCTGCGCACGGTGACGCAAACGGTGCTCGGCTCGAAGCTTGCATGCCGCAGGTCGTCCAAAGACGTCCGTAATAGCAGTCTTGAATGCAGACCACGTAGTAATGTCAGCTGCGTGGTTATTAAACCACAGTTGCGCGGTGTCCGCAAGGTAGAATGTGACGTAGCCCAGCTTACTTGGGTCGTCCCATTTGTTACTTGCGCCGACTTTGTCGTACCTCGCCAACCAATCTTCGACGTCCGACTCAGTGGAGCCCGTGAAGATAGGAGGGTCTTGTTGAGGATACACGGCGCCGCAAGTGACGTGGAGGGCCGAAGGTCCCACCTGCAGAGGCGTCTCGGTGGCCACGTTCGTGTCACGTAGAGGGGGAAGCTTACGGGAGCGAAGTTCCAGGTTTGTACGGGAGTCCACACACCTCCACCAGATGTCACGCAGTTTATTTACGTACAGACCTACTGGAAGGCCGAGGAACGCCAGAAGAGCGAGGAACAACAACAGGCCGAAAATATAAAACAAACGCAAGCTCGGGTCGCGCGTGTGCACCAACGCTGTGGCTTGCCGTTTCATGCTGCTTCGTCGTCATTCGCATAGTTCCCTACAACATGTTTGAATGTTCTCTGTATGTAGCATTCATCAAAATTACGGGAACACACCACACATGTATTGTCAAGTACCTTGTCGTCTCCTTTGATGTTTCTCGACCATTCCTGCAGACGAACAGGATCTGTGGGAGCTCGAAACAATGACACTTTTACCTCTGACGACTTGTATCCACCCTTGCAGAGTGGCACAAAGCACGTGCTACCTTTACGGGCAGGCATGGTCACACATCCGACGAGAAAGGTGAACGCTGACAATATATGATGTTTGCAGCTCCTTCACAAGTCAACACAGCATCAGGACGAAGTAGTTTGAAACCGCACAAGCACAGCACACGCACAAATATACCGCATACACCTCGCTACCGCGCCTGACAGGCCTGGCCGCGCACAAACTTGCCAGCGTGCCAGCGGGCTGCAGAGCCATCTGGCGGACAGATCCGAACACATTTCACTGCGCCCGCGGAGGGTGCCGCCCGCTCACGACACTAGAAAAAAGTTCCAGCCTCTCTACTGTCAGGGAAGATGCTGTGTGCTAGTGAAAGTTCGTGTCCTTTGTTGTTAGTGTGCATGGTTAAAAGTGAGATATGTGTGAGAGTGTAGGTCGTAGGTGACGACAGGAGGTAAATTGCCGTGTTGATGGGTGCACTGGGCTGCTCAATGTTCAGACTGATGATGAATGTATCGTCACCAGCCGACCGCGGTGAGGTGTGGTTCGAATCAGCCTGGAACACCAGCCAATCGTGATCAATTGTGCTTCGAAGCAGCCTGGTCCCAACGTGAAAGGATCGACTTTTGCATCTGACACATGGCCCAACCTCGGGCAAGCCAAGTAGAAGCCCATGTCGAGTGTACTGGTAGGCTGCCATAGCGAAGCCTCTAACACTAATGAGTGCATTGGGCCCGATACACAAGGTGATGAGGACACTGTGTCAAACTTTTGAGGAAGATTACAAACGGGGTTGATTGAGCTGTGTTGACCGCCTTGATACTGCTTTTATTTTTTCCGACTATACGTGGACTCGAATGCCTGACAAAGTTGTCAGTTGTGAATAATTACTGTGAAATAAATTTCAGTCAACAAGCTTTGTTTGTTTTGTCACCTCTCTGTTGATTGATACAGTATATATACACGAGACCTCGCAGGTGTTTTTCTTTTTATGTATGCAAATATGAGAACAAGTAAATCCTATGTAGTATCACTGCCCACAGTACCGAACCGGCCACGCAATCGTTGTTCTGAAAAGGTACTGAAAAAGTCCTGAAGTGTTGTTTTGAGGATGTGCTGAGGTTGTTATGTGTATGGGCAAGGGGGCGGGATCAGTGCCATTCTAGTACAATAAGAGAACATTCTGAGGGCGTCATATTGTCCTCACGAAGGCATACTGAGGACGTCCTGAGGTTGTGTTGGTGTTATCTGGGGTTTCACGTGCAATCTCAAGGCCATGATGTTCCCAGACATAACATGATTTTCCCCATGCCATCCCTTCCTGCTCGGTCAGCAGCGGGCTCGTCGTGATGAGAGAACAGAGGAGGAGCTTATAGCGTACAATGCATGCTCAAAACTCAGCTCGAGTTCTCGAGAGATTCGAGAAATTTCTGTGGCAGTTGACTGGCAATAAACTTTGATACTGAGGTCATTTGATGATCACATCAAAAAGTGATTCAGGATCTCTTTTAGGTTACCAAATGAAGTGAAACAAAAGACTCTTCCATGAAGGGTCAATTTGTCGCTTAGTTGGTTTAACATATCTCACGGTAACGGCGCAGAAGACGATAACAACGATAGGTGATCAAGACGGTAACAGCGCTCTGTTTGTTGCCTGTGTGCCTCTGTTGTCCTACTCTTTCCCGCTGTTACCGCAAGACTTTTCCATCGCAGTCAATGCCCGACTTTGCGATCGACCGAGCAGTAACGTTCCGTACCAGCCAACTTCTCTCGAACCATGTCGAAGTCCTCCGGCCGGAAGATGCTGTCCACGCCGGAGATTTTGGTCATCTCTCGCAGCTCCTTGATGGTGAAGGCTACCTCGAAGGGCCCTCTCCTCCCGACCACTATCACTTTCCGCACGCAGCTCTTCCTCAATGCTTCCAGGGCTGGTTCGACTATGTCCGTCTCCTGAGCAAGGGAAAAGAGAATAATTAGGGGCTCTTACACATGGAAGAAATTGGAGAGGAAGAGCAAAGGATGATAGCGGTGCACGCAACCCTGGAATGCTACTTTAAAAAAAAAAAAAAAACAGGTTGGTGCTTGCATTGCTTAGGTGCACTTGACTGTGGCACAAGATACGTTTAAAAAAAAAAAGAGCAGTAGCAGTAGAGAAGAAAGGGAGACGCCGGCTACCAGCTGTTTGATAAAATTCTGAGAATTATTGTTATTATTTGATTTGCATACACGGGTACGCAAGCACACAGGGAAAAGCTGGAGACAGTCAGTTGGCAACTGCCACATGAAGGGACACAATGTCTGCTTACTCTTTTGGGAGGAGGGGAGATAGAGGAAAGGAGAAGAGAAAGAGTACAATAGAGAGAGAAGTAAAAAAAATTAGGAAGACTTTAAAAAGCATAAGTAAACAAATAAAGTGTTTAAACATAGACTCTGAGAAAGATACAGAAAAATATTATACTTTCTGGTCATTCGTGAACAGCCAGCATATGATGCGGCGCAACACGGTCAAGATAGCATGTCCTCCAGAAAGCAAATTTCTGTGAAATACAAAGTTACAGGTGTGCCATTGACACAACCAGACTCTTTCTTTCTGATATAGAATGCTTCCAACAACTCCCTATCAGTTTGTTTGCATTATTTGCCCACTGAAACCTCAACATAACAAATTTGGATATAACGAATTATTAGTTACAACTAAGTAAAGAATAGCTTTGTCATAGATAGTGCAACGAATAATTGTTCATAAGAAATTTTCGAATATACTGAAGTGCCTCAGTGGCAGATGTGAGTTAGTTATTATGAGGTTTGAGTGTAGCCTGTAGCAGTTTTGCATGCGAAGTGGTGGAGGACTTCAGAGGCAACCCTCATCCTTTCTGCTTCCCACCGTTCACTCCATTTGCTGACCGCGCTTGTGACACCATGAAATGATTTTTCGGTTTCTTAATTATTTCTAGTTGAACCTCGAGCAGCGCTCAGTGGTGAAAGCGGCACTGCCACAGCGCATCAGCATGTCACTGTGGCCCTCAAGGAAGGTAGGGGGAGTTTCCACCTCCTGACCATAGTCCTTATTTCTGGACTTTTATTCTTTCCTTCAAAAATTAAATTTTGTATGCAGTGTTCTTTTTTTTGGCACTTTTAGAACAAGGTAAAGTAATATTTTGTAAACAGCATCTCTTTCTTCTGTGATATTGTTTGTTAGTAAGAAGGTGTTAACAAACAGCAGACAACATCGCACTTGTCAATGCGTGATTGCCCTTCAGCACGAGCACAGACCAAGACTCACCTGAAGCGACTCTGGAGGTGAGAGCAGAATGCGGGCAACATCCAAGGCCACGTTACCATGGCCAATGACAACGGCCGTCTGTCCAGAGAGATCCGGCCGGACGTCCACGTCAGCGGGGTGGCCATTGTACCAGCCGACAAACTTGCGGGCACTGAACACGTTCGGAAGGTCCTGCACGTCAGCATTAGAGAGAGAGCGTGTCACGTGGATTGCTAAAGAGACTGTTGTATTGGAAAGCTGAGCAGAATCGGAACAGAGCAAGTGACAGCAAAACACATGCCCTACCTCGCCCGGAACACCGAGGCTTCTTTCTTGATCGGCACCATACGTCTGAAAAAGCAAAATAATACAGTTAAACCTTATCGATTCGAACTCTGTTATTTCAAAATCCTACTTAATTCGAAAAACTTCTGCGGTCCCGTGTTTCGTAATGCAAGTTTGAGTGGACACAAAACTTACTGACCAGGACAACAGCGTGGTAGGCCTTCCTCAAGTCTGCCACCGTGACATCTGTGCCAAGCCTGACATTGCCGTACACGTTGCACCGGGGGTTCTTGGCAATATTCGTGAAGGTGTGGACCACATTCTGAAAGTGCAAGTCGGTGTGGGAAAGATGAGGAAGGCTGCTTGTTCGTATGTGAGAGCATGAGCATCTCACAAGGCAAACCCTCATCAAAATCCAGCCAGAAATAAATGTCAAGAGATCAAAAGCATGATGCACTTGTTGCAGTCATCTAATTTTCTTTCGACCATCCGTCTAAAAACAGATCGATTGATAAGAAGAGTTTAACGTCCCAAAACTACCATATGATTATAAGAGACGCTGTAGTGGAAGGCTCCGGAAATTTCGAACACCTGGGATTATTTAACGTGCACCCAAATCTGAGCACACGGGCCTACAGCATGTTCGTCTCCATCGAAAATGCAGCCGCCACAGCCAGGATTCGCTCCCACGACCTGCGGGTCAGCAGCCGAGTACCTTAGCCACTAGACCAACAAGGGAGGGGGTCTAGAAAGAGCACAGAAAACAGATGCTTGGGACGGCTAGTGGTACACCCTTGGCAATAAACAGCAGGGAGCGAAAGATGGAAGCATGCGTTGAAAAAATCCATAAACAGGGGTTGTGTGCTTGTCACAAGAGGTACATTAGGGAAACGGCAGAGCCAGTTAGTGTTAGATTAAAGGGGACCCGCGTGTACCCAGCAAAGAAATCACCAAAAGCAGCAGCCCAGCAGGTCATAACTTCGACGGTCTCAAACTTCACTTTCTCCAATCCAACTTCCGGTCCCCAAGAGACACAAAGCATACAGGCTCATGCCTTATCCTTAAGTTTAATATGCTCCACCCAGGAGGTATGAACATTTCTAAGGGGATTCCTGAATCCATCCGATCCGTTACACAAACAAGGAAAACCAATGAGAGTTAAGCCCCCGTACTGGCAATTTCCAAGTTACCATTGTTAAGTGGTGCTTTCTCAAACAACCGCGATTCAGCGAAATGTTACTTTCCCCCCTTTTTTCTCTTTTTCATTCTAGGAATACCTCTTCCCTTTGACTCGGGAATTCATCATGGTGGGCTCTCCCCCCATCCCACAGCCACGCTTCCCCAGTTGCCCACCTTTGTTTGGATTTGAGATGAGGGTAAGAAGCATAGACACACATGATTGCTAAGGAAATCAGTTACAGCGCTGACCCACTTGTTGAAATACCAGATTGAGCATACAATGCCTGTCCCTGTTTACGGATCTTTTCATCCCTGACAAGGAAAACTTCTTTTCTATAAGCAGTTTTTTCAGTGTTTTCATTTCCGTTCTCTCTCAAGCGTCTACATCCAATTGTACAAATATTCCCGCCACCTGCACAATAAACTCGGTTGTAAGTGGGCGCTCTGTCCTATAACCTGCTTCAGTTTGAGAGCTATAGGATTTCCCATGTCAAAAAATGCATAAACCTGGGAAAATGACAAAAAAAAAATAAATACAAGGCACTCCCTTCCGATTCAATAGCACGTCTCTCTATCATGTTCCTTAACAACATGCTCTAATTTAAGTCACCAATAACAAAAGTGCTTTCTATTTAGTCTAGGTCACTGTGAAGTTTTGCACCATTTAAACATGAAAATCCAGCAGCAGTTTACGTAACTTTCGGGGAGAGAGTGCGAAACCATTTCTCATGTAGCTCACTGTTTTTGCATGGCATAAAAGTAATCGTCAGTAGCATTATTAACACTTTGCGGTGCATTTGCAGGGAGCTCTCAACAGTGTAATGAGACTGCAGTGGCCCATGGTAAAGTGCTGATTCACAAGTTGGTTGGTAGTTGATTCATGTACTTGCTTTCTCACTGCATCAAGTGCCATCTCTAAATGAGTAAGCTTTCAATACCTGATTTCTTTAGTTTCCAACTGGAACATATGGACGGAGGGTAAAGGTTTCGAACAGCAAAGGGTTAATGTCACATCCTCACTTTCTAATGAAGCTCACAGTGAAGCATCATTACGCAAGTGTTTGTGTGAGCATTACTCGCACAAACTCCCACACAACTGGATTCTGCTTACCGATTAGTGTTGTCTATGCTTTGTCTACACTCAAACCTCCTTACAAAAAAGTTACATCTGCCACAAAAATACTTCATTATGACCGAAAATTCGTTATAAATGATTATTTGTAACACTGTATCTATTACAAAATATAGCATATAGTTCGTTATATCTGAATTCCTTATGCCGGGATTTGAGTGTATTTCATAGTAAGTCGCCGGAAGCTGAGTCTTGCTGAAGATATTTTTACTCCTCGACCATGATGCAGTCTGCATTTTGCTTTTTCAACATCCCCACAGATGCAAAAAGAGTCTAGATGGCGCAAGAAATATCACATTCAAAGTGAGAAGAACAAAGATCAAGGTTTTTTTGTTATTATTATTACTTATTAACTGCAACACTTACCTTCACCTCAGGGTGGTCTGGGGCGACACCGAAGCGAACCAAACCGAACGGCACCGGCAAACCCTCGTAGATGTCGACGATGGCATTCGGATGCTGTTTTGGGAAGGAGGAACCAACTTTATTGACAGAGAAGGCGCGGTCTTCGATGTGGCTACACGCGGGCAGCGACTCTTTCGGCCCAGGCAGCAATAGCGAGCTGCTACTCCTTAACGGGAGTTATAATGAGCTCCTCCCACGCTGAGCGTGAGCGAGCTGGCAGGAGCATTATGAGGGGAGGAAAGTCATTACGGCCCCACAATACGTGATTTTGCGTAGCCAATTCTTGCGGGCTACAGAAACTGCAGTTGATGAACTAGTATACGTCTGTCTATGCTGTCTAAAAAAGTATTGGAGATTATTCAAGTTAAGCAAGTTTCTGATGCTCCTGGACGACCATACACAGGGGCTCTTATACGAGTCGGCAAGCCACGAAATATGGGAAAAAAAAAAAAATATATATATATTCACTCAAACCTCATTATAATGAACTTGCATCTTACATGAAACTAAGTTTGTTATATACCAAAATTGGCTATAAAGGTATTCCCAACACTATATCTATTGCAAAAGAAAATAAGTTTGTTTTATCAGAAAATTCATTATAAAGGTATATTGCCAACACTATCTAATGTAAAAAAATAAGTTTGTTATATAAAAAAATTCGTTAGAAAGGTATTTTCATAACACTATATATTGCAAGACTATTCTTCAGTTGCTTCGTTAGAACCAATATTTCGCTAATATACTTATCATTATGTTTAAAGTGTGTATCGACGCGGTTCGAACTTTGTATATGGATCAGTTCGATGTTTCAAATACAAGTGTTTTTTCCAATTATCGCCATTTTAATGTTGTTTTTTTATTTTTTTCCTGAAAGCTGCTGCAACATGTTTCTTTGAATTGATTTATGTTCAGCCATGTGTTTTATGCACATAGTTTTTTTTCTGTACATTAAGCTGTTTAGGCACTGTACTTTTGATTTTTCCCGTCCACTGTTTGTTGCCAAAAAAAAAAAAAAAAGACACAGACCTCATTGAGCCATTAAGTGACTGTTATCTGTACCACGTATAGATGCGAAATAAAGTTCAAGTTCATTATATCGAGGTTTGAGTGTATATATTTATAACAGGTAGTTCTACTGTACTGAAGTTACCGTGTATTGCTTCCTCCAAAGGGCAAATTATATACATTAATCCCACAAATTCCTACACCCACTTGCCATGACCTGGGTTTAATAGCATGCACTCATTGAAAATTGGAGACTGCACTGCACTATATATGAACGGACTCATTCTAGTAAACCTGAATCAATTCTCCTGTGTCAAAACAATCCTAACTAAAAAAAGAAACAGATGAAGGAATCAGTTATGTCATAATTGACAAAGTGCCTGTACTTGTCAAAAATTTTGATAGCGTAAATCTTCCCTTTAGCTTACTTTATTCAGCCAGTAAAATTAAAGCAAGGTTTTCATTCCTAAACAATAAATTATCAGCCTCTACAACCACATGTACCTCTGAACTCCAAAAGAAGTTCGAAAAAGCAAGATCCAAAGCAAAAAAAAAAAAAATAGAGAAGAGAGAATGAGGTACATGTGTTGATGATGTCCTAGAGTTCTAACGTCAGCAGACTACAAAACCTTGAGTTTTTACAGCTCCTTTAGTTTTCTGCTTCTCAAAACAGAACCATTTCCCCAGGTTTTACAGCTCCTTTAGTTTTCTGCTTCTCAAAACAGAACCATTTCCCCAGGTTTGAAATGAAGCAAGCAGTCAACATATCAAGCTTTCAAAGCACTTCCTAGGTCACGGTGGCCCGGCACCAGAAAATGCTTGAAAGCTGGTGACATTTGCCTGACTTACACGTGTACAGGCTTCACTTCAAAATTCAACAAACCGATAGTCTGGCAGTTATTCACCTTTTCAGCAATAACGAAGCCTTAGACAGTTGGCAAGTTAAAATGAGGATTTCGAAATGTGCACAGGTTCCACGTGAAAGTTGTGAAAAGTGGGCGAGCTGTGAGCAATTCATTAGAAGAAGATCTCAGTGCGTACGGAACTTAAAGATACAATAAGTAGTCAACAAAGAAGCAGTGACTCGCAACCAAAATTTTACGTGCACACATCAGGGATAGCTCAAAGGCGCACCGTGAAAGATAAAACAAACTGCAAGATAAAATAAACAGAAAATTCGCAAACGGTGAGGCTAGAATGTGGGCGAAAAATTCTACAACAATGCTACATCTATAAGCACCAAATGCTCATGGCACACTGTTCTGTGTGCATTGAAACCCTTTAGTTTCTTCTTTACTACGGAACTTTCCTGATGAACTGAGCTTTCACTTGTATATCCGATATATGAGCACTGGATATACAAGCAAGCACTCATACATTCAATTATAAACGCAGGCAAGAAAAATACTGACTATGTTACATGTGGCCATCCCCCTAAAAGACGTTAGCACATGGCCACTTCTAACGAATTCCCGCTTCGCACTCGAATATAAAGAAGTGCACTTCCACAGAAATTTCGACACCTGCATCTGTTTGGGTGCGTAAAATGAAGAAATACCTACAGTCAGCAATATAAATCCTTTTCAAAGACCTCCACTAGATACAAAATGCTTGCCCTGCCAAGTCAAAGTTGAGAGCAAGACGTGAATTTATATGCTAGCATTTTAAAGGGCACATCTGTCCATCTCCTTTTTTTACTGGTTTCCTGTTTCTGACCTTACTTTAAGTTATATTATGTCACACCGCCTTGCTCAGACATTCATTTTAGATTATGTGAATGTTTTATTTCAGGCCATATGCCAATTTAGCTCTTCTTAATGGGTCCACATACACCACCAAGGGTAGCAAAATACATTGACGGTAATCGAGGATGTTTGGGCTGATGTGCAAGTATCTATATCAACAACACAAATGTATTTCTTAGGGCAAGAAAAGTCGAGCTGTAAGCAACTGAGGAATGCTCAAATAGGGCAGCATAGTGGAGAGTGTGACTTAGGACGTACCTACTTTGAGAACCTGCTGTGCCGTGTAGAAGCCAGCCGGACCGGCACCGACGATTGAAACCTTGAGGGGCGCATTGGAGTGCTTCCACCGTCGCACATGACACCAGGAAAAACGCGAGCTTCGAAGCAGGTGGCACCTCGCAACAGCAGTGTTGAAAACGACCATGGCTGCCGTCATGAATGTAGTGTAAGCCCCTGGCACGGCGAGAACAGGTAGAAAAACTAGCTTGACGTCGGTGCGAGCGCAGAAATAAACAGAGGAGAGTAAGGACAACACATCTGAAGTGATACAAGCATGAACAACGGCGAGCACTGCAAACACTATACTCCTGCCGAGGCCAAGTGATAAAAGCCGAGGTCCTCAGCCGAGATTAACACACGACAGCTGTCGGTGGAGCCCTGACAAGCACCTGCTAAAGAAACAGCTGCGTGCAGAGGGTATGCATACAACGGTGTTGGGATGCCTTTGACATTTCAACAGGAATGTCCAGACGGGTCCACTGTTAAAGAGAACACTTTCGTACAGGGCATGTCTGGATTTCGCTCTCTTGCAAAAGCGCAGTGGCACATATTTGCTCAAGACTACTGTTGGTTGACAGTTCTCAACTTTTTCGACAGACAAACGCAGCATACGTCCAGACTTTACACTTGAAAATGCCGTGAAGCGGCTAGCAATATGAAATGCGAATAGTGTTCCCTTTAACAGCGTAACAGACGATACAAGATGCTGCCCCGGGTCAATTGTGAGAGGCCCGACGTGAAGCGATGAACATGAAGCTATTATATGACATTCGGTGGTCTGGTCAGCCTTTTAGTTTTCGCTCACGTAAGACTTGTCGTTATAGATAATTAAATTCTGGCACCAAAACACCTATGTGATTGAGAGGCATGCATTTGTATGTTGGCACATTCCGTGCCAACATTTCCGTGCGAAGTCTTTTCGTTCGAGATAACTGAATTGTGGATTTTCTCGTGTGAAAACCACCGTATGATAACGAGACACACAGTTGTGGGATGGAGTTCTGTGTAGAGTGCATCTAAATTTCGATTAAGTGTTTCGTCCCTATTGAAGTGCGGGCACCGCGCGCCGGAGAATCGAACCCGCGACATCGCGCTTGCCAGGGAAACGCCGTACTCGGCGATGCACCTATGGCGGGTTCCTTTTTTTTTTCGGTTCAATGTAACTGGAGTGCGGTACTGCAGTTAAGATAACCAAGTAAAAGTAATAATGGGTTTTCCGATTCTCTCAGATAGATTACTTGGGTGCATTAACAAGCTACGACGAAATCGGGTAGTGAAAACGTACCAACAGAGCTTTCACTTTAAGAACCTGCTCACGGGGAGATGCATCGCTTAACTGAAGTACGTGACAATAGATATCACAAATCTGCATATATATAAAACTCACTGATAAGACGGCGCGTTTTCATGAGGAAATACACACGCGATCAGAGTGAAAGTGAGCCCTCGGTCCGAGAGAATTACGCACGCTTGTTTTATGCAATCGTGCGGCGGAATGCAGCAAAGCCACATCGGTCGTCACGAATGCAAGGTTACCTTGTTAGGACGGCCTACTAGTGTTACCGGCGCACGCGCAGGAGGGCCTTCTGGGGTGTTTCGATACTCCGTGAGCCACAGACATCGGGTGTTTATTGCGCAGCCAGGTGCGATCACTTGCTGTGCGCGAAACTAAACTGTACTCATCACAGCTTCGCGGGCGAACCGTGCATGTAGTCATCGGCATACATTTACGCCAAACCGCGCTCGCGATTTCTAACTTGCGATTCAGCACGCCTCCGCCGCTAGAACGACAACATACCGAACACAAGACACACGCTAACGCGCGTTTACAACTGTTCACGCGCGCCTACCAACCGCTGCATCGCAAGATAATCGAGCAGCCGAGGAACCTCTTGCAAAGCCGGGTGTATCACTCCGCTGTTCCGCAAAAACTTTTTATTAAAAATCAAAACCTATACAAACTTTTAGGCATTTAACTACGTTTTTTATAAAATACGCACGTTAATATTTGAGGTATAGGGGAATATTTGTGACAGTAATTTACAAAAAGTCGTATACCAGTGGCACACTTTGTTATCACGGAAGTGTTTCTACGCTACGCGCCGGAAGTCGATAGAAAAACGCAGCCATCTTGGATTTTTATAAACTCCGCGGGTGGTGTTTATGAAAGCACGCTTTTCGCCTACCTTCGACCCGTACACGACGCATTAAAAGGTAAGTTTTTCCTTGCATTTACGGTCAAGGGAAAGTGCACCTAATTGACGACATCGTTCAATGTTTGGAAGCTGAGAACTCGAAGTGCGAAAGTAGTTTTTCTTTTTTCGTGAGAAAGTCCCGGGTGTCTAAAGCATGGCTGCTTCCGCCCGTTAGAACGGAACTCAAAAAGCCGGCGTTCCGTTCATTTTCCACACGAATTTGCTAGCGAGCTACGAAATTCAACGAAGGAAAGCGCAGTGAATGGATTTCCGAGTTGCTTATTTAGTCTGCTAGAGCCCCGATCTCTCGCGGAACTCGGCCTGATCGCGGTTTTTTAAAAGAAGATAGAAAAAGTGAAGCGGGACCAAGAAAAGTTTGCACAGACCTCTTCGTGAGGGCGTGTTGTCACGAGTTATCCGAGGAAACACCCAACCTCCGATCATCTATTTTTTTCGTTGCCTTGCTCGAACCGTCGAAAGACCTCGTTGCGGGACGTGCGAGAAATCTGGTACGTAATTTATTGTGACTCCAAAAAAGCTTCCGGTGTTTCGCTGCGATGCCATGCTTTGCAAGTAACCACACAAATCGACCGCCCCCCTCGTTGGAAAACCCGTCGCTTTGTTGTAGTGCGCCTATTGCGCAACAAGTGGTTCCGCAAACTGTTCTTTCGAGGCTAACAGCGCTGCAGCTTTTACATTCGCCCTGCTGAATTAACGTCTCAAAAAAGAAAAAAAAAGGCATCGTCAAGCTCGAAAATGCAGGTTCGATTCGAGAGCTTCGCCGGCTGCGTTTTCATTCGAGGTCGAAATGCTAACACTCCCGTGTGCTGCGCTTTTGATTTAGGTGCACGTTTAGAAGGCTCCCAGGTGGTCGAAATTCACTCCGATGTGAAACCCGCTCCATTTTTTTTTTTTTGATTCCACAATAGGTGTTTGTATCTTGCAAGGTCGGCTAACTTCCTTCGAGTCTCGGAGCCCTGTCGATCTCTACCAAGAGTTCCTTTGAGCGAGGTTTTCTGTTGCTTTTTTGAAAAGCTTGTCGCGGATCGTTTGTCACGCCCGTCTGACGTGTCCCGTTTTTTTTTTTTTTTGTTTTCTCGTCTCTCTTCTTTACACTGTTGCGACCGCGTCAAGTAGAGCTCTTTCGCTACCACGATGGGCGCAATTTCCTTTTTTTTTTTTTTTTCAAAGGTCCGTTTGTCACAAGGCGTCGGCGTTTTGTTGGCGGTTCCCCGGTTAGCCCGTCATACAACCGAACTCTCTGTTTAAAGAAGTACCGTTAACAGCGCAGTTCGGCTATAACAAATCAACAAAAGAGTGACGGGCTTTTCGCGTACGCTTCGCAACGGTACGCACTCGGTTTCCGTTTCTCTTTTGTGGGCGAACATCAGCGGCGAAATTTGAAACTTCCATTTGCGTGCAATCATCGGTCGCGGTAGCAAGGTAGAGGCGCCGCCGAGTTCCGAGGTTCAAGAATTGGAACAAGAAAAACATAATACACACTTTTCACACTTCGGTAAGCAAACATGCGCGGCAAAGTGTATTTTGTATTGCGTTGCTGCAGGCTTCATGGGCAGGTATGCCTCGTTATTTGTTTTTGTGGGCAGATTTGGGTTCTCTCTCTTGGTGTGTGTGGAGTAACAGATATGCTTTCGCATTCGTGGGCCCCCCTCCTTGCTCAACACGTTGGAGTGGCTCCAGAAGTTTGGGAAGGAATTTATTGCTCAAGCGGCACGCCTCTGAAGGAGATTGCACCAGAAAAAAAAAAAACGGTGCCTGATTGGCTGAAATATGTCTAGATTTAGTCCTTTGAAAGCTTAGACAGAGGAAACTTAGTAATGATTTGTCACCAGGCGTACCTTATCATTTGTAATGTGGCAGCACATCTGGTGCTCTTTGGTTCCGCATTTTTTTAATCGAGCATAAAACTCTGTAACCAGTAGTATGAGTGTTAACGATTGTGTTCTATGTAGTGAAAGGAATTGTACAATGCAGGCAGGCAGAACTTATGAAATGAACCTAATACAGCACCAAGAGTGAGAGTTCAAAGAGAAAAGGCTAAATCAGAAAAATAAAGGGGAAAAAATGGGTGAGGTGGTAACATTGCTACACTCACTTCTGGGCTTTCATGTGAAGGGCTTATTGTGGTATCCCTAGAATTGTCAAAGCTTTCAGCATCTTCTCATGTGTTTGGTGATAAGATTGTGTGCGTGTTTTGAGTAGGCAAGTTTGTTCGGGAACTGCGAGTGCAAATATAAGGCTGGAGCCATCTATCCTGCATGTATGAGAGCCAACTCGTTTCACCTCTGATCAGTTCCTTTCACAGCCAACACCCCAGTGCGAGTGTACAGCCAGCATTGCTTGTATTTCGTGTTTTCATCTCCCTGGGCTCGCACAATGAAGAGTGGCATATTCACAAGTCTGACAGCCGCCTACTCCACCGTCGGCTTCGTGACAGTGCTCACGTTGTAAAAGTGATAGAAATGCTATGTAGAACAAAAGAATATAAAGAAGACATCGTCGCGCACTGAAGAAGCAGATGCTTTGCTTGTGTGGTTGCTCAGCTGCAACGTAAACACCATATGTTCGCTTTGTTCATTTACCTTTCACTGAAAAAAAAAAAAAAAGAACTTAATATTTCAGCTGATAAAGAACAGTATGAGGTATTTAGCACAATGATGTCTGAAATTTATCTGAAAGGTTAATGTAAAGAATAGGATTGCGAGAATTCTAGATGCTGTGGCTTCATAAATGCTTCATCCAAGAGACTTCCAAGGTGCCAAGCCTAGCTGCTGTTTTTTTTTTTTTTTATATGACGTACGCAAGAGCTTTGGCTAGCTCTCTTTTTTTCCCCAATTGTACAGGTGTTGGTAAAAAAATTGAGCTGGTAAGAAGGCAGTACATTCGATGGGCATTGTACATAACGATTTTTGTAATGTTGCACAAGTGTGGGATGCAGTGAAAATTTACATTATGCAGTTTCTTATGCTTACAAAAGCTGAAATGCAATGTGGCAGCATGGATGGTTGTTAAAAAAGTTCCGTCGTACTATACTGCAGCCCAGGGGTTGCATTTGCATGTGTTGTCACTTAGGTTCGGGATCTGTGTACATTTTGCTTATACCTTGCAGACTTATGGAAATTGAAATTGTTAATTTTGCCAATCTGGGTACATTTATGTACAACTGGGGTCAGAATAATATACCTTTGGAGCTTAACAAAGCATTTCTAGGTATTGCACACTCTCACTTTTTACAAGATTGACCAAGTTTCGAAAAAAAAAAAATTGGATGTGATTGTGTCTTGTCGTAACATAGTTTCCACTAAAGTGCTTTTTACCCATTCAAACTTTCAGCAAAGGTCTAGTCAGAAGTGCCTCCCATTAAGTGCATGCAACTTGTTTGGAATATTGATACTTTTTTGGTCTGTGCTACTGTGCTTTATAGGCCATCTCTGGTTGTGCAGTTGCGTGCAATGGGCATGTGGACATTCCTCCTACTTTCATTTAACAGATTTAACTGCCGTTTCGTTGATTTGGCTTGATGCGATATCTTGAATAGCGCGTTACATTCTTCTGACCCTTCGTATCAACGAAGAAAAATTCCACGTGCTTTTGCAGTAACATGGCCTCCCACTCGGTCACCATATGCCACCGCTGTTGTGAGACAACCCTTATCTTAGCGTTTCCTTATCTCTTTCTTCATTTAGAGCTAGATGGCAACAGCAGAGATAGAGATGCCCAATCGGGCTTTCTCCTGGCACAGCAGGTTGAAATGCCAGTGACACGCCCCTAGTGAAAAATCGGAGCTGAGCTAACATTCTTGCAACCTGACAGAAAAGAGGTGTGTGTGCTTTGTAATCCTACTGCATATACCGTTAAACCCCTTTATAAGAGACAGTGATGTAAGGCATTGATGTAAGACAAAGGGTGTAACAGACATGAGTGTGCCCACGTTGAAATAGGGGTTGATAAGAAAGTGCCTGCATGGTACCTTTCTTATAAGGGACACCAGATATAGAGTGCAAGAATTGTTGCCTTGTGCAGGTCTTACACAGGGGTTCAACTGTATACTCAAAATATTTTTAAGGCTCGGTTTGCTGCACTTCCTTAACCACACTTTGCTGGAGAATTTGTCATGACAGGCTACCGTCTCCTTCTTTTATAATTTCTATTGCTATGTGCTACTTTTTGAAAAAACAGACTTGAATTTCATAGGCTGGTGCACAATTCGCTTGCCAGAACGTTGTTGCTTGTTAGGCTAATGTCATTGAGGACAAGAATGCAGTGTTTTATCCTCTTGCTTGTCTTTTGTCTAGTTTTTATGCTCAATTCCCCCTTCCGCGGTGGTCTAGTGGCTAAGGTACTCAGCTACTGATCCGCAGGTCGCGAAATCGAATCCCGGCTGCGGAAGCTGCGATTCCGATGGAGGCGGTAATGTTGTAGGCCCGAGTGCTCAGATATTTGGGTGCATGTTAAACAACCCCAGGTGGTCTAAATTTCCGCAGCCCTCCGCTACGGCGTCTCTCATAATCATATGGTGATTTTGGGAATTTAAACCCCACATATCAATCAAATATGCTCAATGCCATTATGAATTGCTTGTCTGCACGCACTTGCCAATTTTTTGGAACTTTTCGTCTTTTGCTTTTACATATGCTATCTTAACTTTGCAGGTGGACAGATATGCCTGCATATTTATTTCTTTTTTTAATCTGACTTCTTTATGGAGATGAAATTGTACACTTTTACCTTTGCACAGTGGCATGTGTTGTTTATTGTCTTCTCTCCCTCCTTTCTTTCTTATCTCTCCCGCCCCCCCTTTTGTGCTGTTGCCTAGTTACCATGTGGCAGCCTTTATTTGAGGCCTTCAGACTTGAAATCGGCATTGAGGGCCCAATTGCAGCACCTTTCATATTCAGAAATTAATATTCAGTATCAGTCAGGTGACTTGTTCATTAGAAAACTTCCGAGCATTGTATGAACAGACATCGGTACTGCGTGTTGAACTTGTTGGCTTCCGTGCTCTCCGCTGCTGTTTTCCCCTGGTATTGCGCGGGAAAATTTTTTCCCTCGCCGGCGGCATGGGTCGGTGCACCTAAACCTAAAATCTGCAACAATCGTTGTGGAATAACGAAATGTTTTATTTAATTAACAGTGCTTGACTGCATCAGGTGCTTCAGTACGATTTTCGTGTGTGAAGTTTAAAGCACACATGCATTATGAGAGTAACTTCACATTTTGACACTCCCATCGGCTCCCGGACTTTTTGCCTTGTGCTTTGCAAACTAAGCAATGTCATGATGGATTCTGCTCGACTTCGTTTACCAGGATGTGAGCAGGAAAATGAGCCTATTTGGCATCTTGTGGACACGTTCATGAGGCTGGAACAGGCAGGTTTCTTTTGCGTTACTTCTGCCATGCTACGATTCGAAAAAGCCGGGATTGTGCACCCTTCGCCGCTAAAGAAAAAAAAAACACAAACAGCTGAAAACATGTACAACTATGTCCATCTAGCGAATAATAAACCAAGCAAAATACAAACACAAAATACAGTGCTATCATCTGTGAAACGATGTCAAAAATAAACATTTTTCAGGCGGCCAGCATTCTGCCGGCTGTGAAAGCCGATTGGTCAACGCATAAGTGTGTTTTCTAGGGTTTCTCGGTGGTTGAGGTGCAGCTAAGCTTCGGTACCTAGATTCAATCTACGTCTAGTACAGCTGTATTTCGATTGGGGTACAATATATGATAAAACAAACTCCAGGTGCTTTTTTGTTCATTGACTTATTGACCAAGTTTCGACGACACTGCTATTTGGTAGTTGGGGCTTCTGATAACACCAGAGCCAAGTGTTATAGCATGGCATGCAGCCTGGGTTTTGCAGTGAATTGTCAAAGTCTCTACAAATGATGTTGCACCATATACTTAGTCTCTGCCGTTAGCTAATGTGAGCGTCCCTGCCCATGGCATGTTATATTTTTTACCACTTATATTTCTTCATAATTACATAAGTTTTTTCTAATAATGTCCCCTGAACATTCGTTGGCATGATTGTCAATCGGATCTCATTAGTAAGCTTCATAATTACATTTCCTGAAAACGACATGAGCCCAATAAGCAAAACCATGACAATTGCAGTGTTACCGGACATGGCAAGGCAGTGTGGCAGTGATCCTTGCAATACGAGTCAAGGGTACGAATTAGCTTCACGTAAAGGTTCAGCGAAGTAAGATTATTTGCTTTTGGCTATAAAATCAGTTTTTAGTCAATTTCCTGTCCTTTCTGCCACATTCTTGCGCCAACGAAATTCCTGTAAGAGCGACATTTTTTGCTTTCCCTGCTGATTTTGTTATTATCAGAGGTTTCAACTGTAACATGTTTGCGTTGTTCTCGTATCCATGTTTTCTGTGGCTGCCTTCTCATTCCGCCAGTCTGCTCAGCTTTAAGTTGGGAATGATTTTCTTTGTCCTTCAAAAAACATAGATAGACCTGCCAATAAATGTCTTACAGCTTCACTGGTGATCCTGAACTCCGGCTGTTTTCTGTTGTGTGAGTGTGCATTGCACAAGCGCACAGTTCTTGCAACATGACTTTTATGACTTGCGATGGTTAGCGCCCAGATATCGCAGAAACTAGAGGAAGATGGAACTGATTCAGTTTTTCAAATGAGGCCTTAATGACTCTTGACACACTTATACAACCATATTTACTTCTCCGCATAGTTGTACATACAAACGTTTGGGTGCATTAGGGTGTGTTCTCAAATATTGTTGCATGGCTGTGACTGCAAAGGACACATAGCTCAGGCTTGTAAAGATGAAACTTTTTTATTGGTTTCAAAAGTACGAGCAGCACTTGCTTTGCAGTGTTAAGGGCAAGCACAGATTGTAATCTGCTTGTATGTACTATGCACTGGCTTTGGTACACGCCCTATCGAACTTCTAGTGTTATCACTGGTGTCGGTGTTTGCTCTAGAATAAACACGGTAACTGGTTTCATACACGTAATCATAACAGAAGGGTCTGAAACAATCACAAAGCTTCTTCAAAACATAGCGGTGTGGCCTGTGGTGAGCAGTGGTAGCTGCTTTTTGTGGGTGAAGTGTGATCACAAAGAAGTAAGCGTGTGTGGTGTTCCTAAAGATTGGCACGGCAACCTTTGTAAAAAGCACGTGTCTGCACCTTCACGTTCAGGCAAACAGTTTGGCTATGGCCGACGACAAGGTGCAGACGGCGGTGCCCGACGTGGAGGACGATGAGGACCACCCGAACTACAAGCCACCTGCGGCCAAAAGCCTCAAGGACATCGTCGAAGCCGACAAGGAGGACCCCTCGCTCCAGAAGTACAAAGAAACTCTGCTAGGGGCTGCCACCGCAGAAGCCATCGTCGTTGGTATGTCCATACATAGTTTCCTACGGCATTCTTTACAGTAGGGTTCTGAAACACGTGGACCCAGACGCCTTGACATCGGTCCGCCACGCACAGAATGGTCCTTGTACCGTATGTTTTTCTCGGTTAGTTTGTTTATGAAGTACTACCAGCGTCAAAGAAAACCCGAACAGTGGCATGTCATTGCGAGTGTACAGTGCAAACCATCCAATTATCACCATTGACCGGCGCACGCATCTTGTTCAGCAGTTCTATGCATATATGTGTGGCTGTCTACGGTGATAAGTGGATGGCACGGGTTATACCAACATTCTCATAATATATTGCGTGATTGATGTCAATCAATGGTTCTTTTCCTGTAACGCCCCTTGTAGTCGTCATCCTGTAAAGCATATAACCGTAAAACAAGAACTATGTGTTTCATTATCAATTCAATTTTATTTACCAGAAAACAATCTGGAGGGACACCCGGGCAAAAAGCTGTCGCAGCAGCTTGACGAAGGCTCAGGGTCCCTTACATGGCAATAGCACATATATGACACATGTCAACAAGTGTTTTTACATGGCATTCAAATCGAAAGCATTATACATACACATCAGCATACATCACACATCAGCATGCAGATAGCAATTATTCTGCAGATCAATATTGATACGTTTTTTGAAATTTTGCTGCAAATATTCTTTAAATGTGTACTTACGAAAATGCTTGCTTTCAGGTGGCAATGTCAGTTAAAATTTTGTTCAAATTCGCCCGACAAAATCGAAGTTGCGATAGGGCTCTGTTCATTGGCATTGCTGCAGCCTTTGTGATTAACTAAAACTAAGAATCGGTCTTGAGTGTGTCTACAAGACGGTAGCTAAATCCAATTAAAGATGCTTTTTGTAAGTTTAAGGAGGCGGCAGCACTTTCCCTGCGCATGGACAGTAGTTACTGTGCAAAATTTTAAACAGAGTATCGAAAACATGCCCATACGGCAGAGACCTTGTAGACAGAAACCCGCCTCCATACAAGTATGGCAGAAAACCTGAGAGGGTCAATGCAAAATGTGTTTATGTAAAAATATGACGAGAGAACAAAAGAAGGGGTTTAGCAGTGAGAGGCACCGCGTGCTAGGCCACCTGCACTGCTCATATGCTGGCACCCCACTCACCATCTAAATATCTCAAGTGCTTTGTCATAAACAAAGTTAACTGCTTTCCAGCAGTGCCTTACGTTTGTAAAATCTTTCTTTTGACTTATATGTAAATGCATTCATTGCACTGTTGTAGTAAGCACTTGTGCTTGTTAACTCTAAAAAGGCATATTGGTTTTTCCAAAAAGAAGCCATGTATTTAAAGTTTTTCTTTCCTAAAAAACCTGTATAATTGATTTTCTTCATATCTTTGTGCTACAAACTGGGGAACATTTTTTTTCTTAACTCTTGGCCAACTTCCTGCACGCTGCGTTCTTTCGCAGAACTCATTTACCACCCTGAATTTATGTGTAACGCAGATATACAACAGGTGAAACAATGCTGTGTCAATAATCTTACAGGATTTTGAAACTTTCTCGGTATTTTGCATTATGGCAAGGTCTTAGACTTTCTAACCATAGAAAAAAAAAAAAAGCTATATTTAAGCCTCATAGCACTCTAAAGCAGTTAATTAGTAATAGTTCTTCTATCCATTTTAAGGTTCATTTCACTCGGCTTGTCTGTTTGAGGTTGCATAATAATGCGGTGGTGTGTGAGAAGGGTGTGACCCGTTTTGCTGCTCAATGGCTCTCACTGGCTCAGTCCTCCATTGCATTGCTACAGTGGCTGGTGCAATTCACATGGTTCATGTGAACTCTTGAAAGGCCTTGAACGTGCTGAACTTTTTGCGTATCCTTGAAAATCCTTGAATTTTCTTCTCGTTTTAAAAATTTTTAATGAGGACTGCAGCACATTTCAGAGCACATTATTTGTGATGTCGTAAATGCAGCATGTAGCATATCTAATGCCCATCACAAAAGGAACCAACACCGTGCATTTTTTGGAAATTCTGAAAGGAACCAGGAGGATAAGAAACCGAAAAGGATATGTTGGAAAGATACATTGGATTGAGGATAAGGATGAAATCTTAACAAAAGAGAAACTAGGAGCTGCTCCGAAAGAATTAACAGCTACAGGAAACTAGTATGCAAAAAAGGCAGAGACAGTCAGCAACTTGATGTGCATCAAATCAAACACCCTTAGAAAGACTGCCAAGATCAAGCAGAAGGAAACAGTGGACATACGTATCAAAATTCAGGAACAGTAATTACTGGAATAATTAAATTCTGGAAGCCTGAATGTGATTATCCGTGCCATTCCTAGACACTACGATTGAATGTTCTCTAGAAAGAAATTGTAAATGCAGCATTGTTTTCGATGTCTGCTCCAGCGATGTTATCATTTTTTCGATAAATTTCAATTATCCCCTTTTCTGAAATATGTGAATTGTGTTTTTGACATACATTGTGGTCCTTGAAAATTCAGACATAGCCTTGAGAGTCCTCGAGAACCCTTGAACTTTTGTCATGTTAAGCATGAACCCTTAATTCAGTTGCTGCCTAGGTCTACGGCCTTGTCATTATGCAAAATGTTTTTAAAAAATCTGTGTTTGCATTTTTTTTTACACGTATAGTTTGTTGTTTAGTCTATTTGTTTGTGCACCCAAGGGTAAGGGCTTGGCGCAGGCTTAATCCTGTCAGGTTAGCCAAACGACAATGTGTCATTCGATGCCGCACACTGCTAAACGTGTTCTTCGGTAAGTGATATTGCCTGTCTGCAGTTGAATTTTCCGCTTTACTTTCTTTGCAGAACCGAACAACCCTAACCGTGTTCTCGTGAAGAAGTTGGTGCTGGTCGTAGAGGGGCGGCCAGACATTGTGCTGGATCTCACAGGTGAGATGCGGCAGCCCCACAAAAGGCTGCATACCGCACTTGTCTGCGTGCTTCTTTTATGCCCGTGTGCTTCACTGTCATGCAATCTGGAATGACACGGACTCCAGAGACGCTGTAGCTTCTGTGGCAAAATTTTTATACGTAACACTGTGAACTTGGTGCCTGCTGATTTTGAATTATGCTCAGTGTACCGTATTTACTTGCATAATCCTCGCACTTTTTTTGGTGAAAAACTGAGCAAAGTTGGGGGGTGCGAGAATTAGGCAGGGAAAAATTCCACGAAAACGTACAGAGCGAAAAAAAAAACAAAGTGGCCGCAAATCAAGATTTTCACACCAGCAACTAACAGCAAGCTTTGAGAAGTACTAATTAAAATTTGCTTCAACAATAAAAGCAGAGGTTCAACACAAGGCAAGATTTATTTGAGACACAAAAAGTGCAAGCAAATAGTCAAGAATTAAATACCATACGCAAAGTTTGTGGGCATTGCGGTAGCGTTCGTCACTCAAACGGAGCCCTCAAAAGGATGTCAGTATTGGGCTGATGGCTATTTAACAGAATTGTCCAGTTTCCTTCTGAAGAAATAAAGTTTACCATAATTCTCAGTCTTAGGCACACGGCAGGCCCAATGCGTCTTGGTGGCTTTCAGCTGCCGACACCAGTAGCAAACACAAAACTCGTCGACTCCAAAGGGCCTACTGGTGGCCCTGTTGCCGTTTTTTAGTGCATGGTCAATCACTTTCAACTTTAAAGCAGCCGTGTAGCTTTAGTATCGCCCTATAACGTGACAAGATTACCGACACAACATACAGAACACGCCGCAACGCGCACTTGCCGCTTTGGCTTGGCCTGGATCGGATTGAATCTCTGTGCAATAATAGTATGCTTGATGCTTAAGAGATGCCGCCAGATGGCACGCGCTATCATCATCAACAGCTGGAACGAGCAGACAGCGTTATTGTGGCAATATTCAGGGGTTGCGATAAATACTCAAGGAAAAAGAAATCGTACCTTTGTAGGGGGATGTGGGGAGTGCGAGAATTATGCGAGTGCGAGGATTACACGAGTAAATGTTTTCTTTCGTTTTTCTTTGTTTCGAGCAAACTGTCGCTCGTACTCATACTGTCGTACTTTTTTTTACATATTTCTATATATTGCTGCTATTTTGTCGCTATTTGCAGACTTAAAAATCTAATCCTCTTTTTACTTCTTGTTGGGAGGTCCCCTGACAGTTCCTACTTTAGGACCTCTGATTGTTCATTCGCCATGCAAAAAAAAAAAAAATGTATATATTTGGAATAAACTTCAACTTCATCTTTAACTCAACACCTCCAGTCGGGGTCCCTCATCATTGCTGCTCTTGCTTTTTAAAGGTAGTGCCACTTTTGTTTTGTAGGTAGTGCTGCCCTTGGTGCATTCTTTATGCACTTTTAGATTTCCAGCATGTATTTTTTACTTGTCTCATTAAAAAAAATGAAGCTCATCCTTGCAGGTATATATCTTAGTGGCTGGCATTGCATTATCGGCCTGTACTGGTAAACGAGTTTGCGCTTCGCGTGCATGCAGAGGACTTCGACCAGATCAAGAAGCGCACGTTCACCGTCAAGGAGGGCATCCAGTACCGGATCCGCATAGAGTTCTTTGTGCAGCGCGAGATCGTCACGGGGCTCAAGTACGTCCAGAAGATTTACAGGCACGGACTACAAGGTGAGCTGCTCGATAGATGCTGTCGCTGGGCAGTTGATTCATGATTGTGGAATCCAATGGCAGATCAGGGTGGCCAACGGACTCTGCGGGCAGGCGCTTAATACTAGCACAAAGCAGTGACTCTAAATTTGGAACACAACCTCCACTGCTGGAGGGAGGTGGAGGTTCTATCTTTTGGATGCCAAGTCACCCAGAATACTTCGCACATAGTCATACTTTTCCGCTGTTGAATGCCTGTCCTTACTTGGATGTTGGCAGATAATGAGCAGCACAGTTATTACTGCACTTTTAAGATATTGACTCACTTTGACTGCACTATCAGTACTCCAGATAAATCATAATTGTCAACCGTGCAATTCGTGCCACACACACAGCCAAGCCCACAGATGACTGCGATAAGGTTGTCAGCAATAAGTCGTAATGCCACGTTAATCGGTGGCCGCCACAGCTCTTTCACTTTCTTGTTATGCTTATCAACGAAGGCATCACTGCAGTAATTCGAAATTCACATAATTCATCGTCCGATTCCTGCCTATTTCTGGAGGGAACAAAAGGAAAAAAAATTTAAAAAGACATTGTGCGGCACATTGTGGCATTGACCCAGTGAACTTTTATGAGGCAGAACGTTATCGCCATCATCACTTATTAGATTTACTGTTTCTTGCTTTCCAGTGTTATTCGATTCCTTGTAGGCAGTCAGAGCTGCAGAGAACATCTTCAGGGGAGCTTTTACATGTGAAAGTGTGCGGCAAGGCTTTTTGATGCCTATTTTATTTTTTTTTCCTACCTGCCATCTGCCGGTGAAGAAATGTTTGGAAAGTGAGCGACTTCCCCACGGCATACGAAATCTCGTTCGGTGCGCAGCAATCTTGGATATCTTTGTTGCAAGTCAATTGGAGCGTCAATTGTCAACCAAGTATTACATGGTCATTGCATGTCTGTTTTTGCTTCCTTTGTCTGCTTTCATTGTTGTGTTTCAAATTGAGCATATTCTGTTGACTTCTGCAATGTCCGCAGTGGAGAAGATGAACCAGATGGTGGGCTCGTATGCGCCGAAGAAGGAGATCCAGTCCTTCACGACGCCGCAGGAGGACATGCCGGCGGGCATGCTCGCACGTGGCTCCTACACGGTCAAGTCGCTCTTCACCGATGACGACAAGCACGAGCACCTCAAGTGGGAGTGGACCTTCGAGATCAAGAAGGACTGGGACGACTAAAGACGTCGGAACCTCGGCATTCAGACAAAGGATCGGAAGCCGCAGCTCTGGTGGTTTCGCCCACGCGACCCTTCTCCACGGGCCAGTGGCAGCGCGCCGCTAGCGGTGTGAAAAGTACGCATAAGGATTGGCAGCGGGTGGCAAAACGGTGCAAGAAATTTGTCTTCCACGGTGCCTGCCCTCCGCTCCTCTAGAGGATCTAGAAATGTCCGTGGTGTCGGTTCCACCCGGCCACCCAAAACCTGCATAAGTTACGTACACGGTTCCTCCCGGCTACCCAAAACCTGCACAACTTGCGTACTTAGAGGAATACCATATTGCCTACAATCTGCTCAAGAATTCAATAATATTTAAGCTAAATTATAGCAAAAATGCGGACTCGGCTGTGCAAGGAGGGTAGCTTTGCATCGATATGTGAGGATCATTTATGAAAAAAAATTTCAAAAATATCATTGGAGGTACTAGTTTTACGCGAGGAAATACATGAACTTGTTCAACAGAAAGACCTGTCTAGAATGTTGAAGAGCATAGCAAGAGGAGTGTCAACTCTAACAGTGGTTGGTGCATTTCGTTGGCAACATTTTCTGTAGCGTTGCGAGTGTGTCGTTGAAACTTCAGCTCACCAGTTTCCGCACAGACCGAGTTGTGCGAATATAGTGTTGTCACCCCACTTCCTAGAGTGCAGGTGAGGGGCTTTAAGAAAAAAAGCTAAATTTCTCGCATCGTTAGGCTCCGCTGCATAGGGTTGTTGCTGTCGATCGTAGAGTACTTCAACTAGTGGTGGTTGCGGAGAGGGCTGCAAAAGCTGTTGCACACGAGACCTGAAAGTTCTTGTGCACCAGATTTTGTTGTTTGCTTGCTGGACGTAGCAAAAAAATCGCTTAGGAGCTCGCTGCGTTTTCACTGGCCCTCTTCCCCTTTCATTGGTTACTGAAACCGCATTCAGTATATAGTATTGCGTCTGCAAAAGTTTCCACGGCGTGAGTGAGAAGCAGAGTTATGGCTAGTGACGTCTAAGTGTTCCGGTGTTTGTTGATTCCGAGGTTGCAAGTTTTTGCGCTGTAACAATGGCGCATTGCGTTTGTTACAGCTTTCTGCACATCACCTCTGTTTCATGGGCCACAGCAAACTACTTAAGCGCACCTTTCGAAATGGAGAGGCCGCATGGTAATGACACGTTGGACCTGGCAGATCACGTCTGCAATTTTGTTTGTTTCTCGTTGACGACACATTTTTTTTTTTCCCACGTGCTCACAAAAGCATAGCAGTTGCAGCCTTTTTTATTGCTCATAGACCAAACTTTATTGAAAAAACGGCAAGCGGTATGGGGTCGCGGCGCATTGCCACTGGCCATGGAGCGTTCGTGGGTTCTCGCAGAGTCGAACTTACAAAAAATGGACAATGTGTCTTTTTGTTCATTTTTCCTTCCCGCTCTCGCTGTACATAATGTTGCTTCTTTTTTTTACTTTGATTTTTATTGCTCTGTTTCCCGTTGTTCCGGTGTGATCCTGTTGATAACTGCCACATTTTCATTTGCAGACTCTTTGGTCCGAGTGTACTGATTTGCTCAGTTATTTTTTATTTTACGAGCCCGTTGTGCGCTTTATTGCCCCTTTCTAATTCCTTCTCTCTTTCATGTTACTTAGGCTAATTGTGTGATGTATGAGCCACATGCAGCCCAAAGTCATCCGATGCCACCATATATCAGAAGGGCGGTGGTTCGCTCACTGGGATAATGTTTGCAATATGCAGAAACAGCTTTGGGGCCTGACAAGAACCGTAGATTGTATGAGTATTTTGATGGCTTATCGCGCATGTTGAAATAAAAAGAAACCTGGAATGTTGGCCGGCTCCCTTTAATTATAGAAGGACAGTGTTTAGTAAGGAACTTTGATGTGGCCACGCTCAACTTTTGTACGGAGACTGTTAGTCTAGTGACAGATGCTGCAAGTGCACTATGCAATGCCAAAGCTGTTTTCTTGACAAATCTCTTTTGGTGACATTGAAAATATTGACACGCCTTCTGACTGCATTGCAGTCTCGTTTGTGTAGTTGTAACTGCTTCGGTGTAATGACCGTCTTGCACTTAAAGGGTGCCCCGACGTCTACGCAAAGTTTAGGGGATAGATATCCTTGAAAGTAGTCAGCCTCAGAACACTGCTCTCTAGGGGTTCTTTCTGGAGTGTCACATGTGTATTAAAAGGAATGTACGCACTATTTTCATTGCTTAGCAGTCGACGTATTTGTTAGATTTTTGGATCATCTAAGAAGCCAAGTACTTATATGTAAAATGTGCAATTTTTTTTTCAACTGCCACCAAACGTTGCCAAATCGGTATTGGCTGTCCAGCACCTTGTGGATAGTTCGAACATGGAATGCCAGCATTAATATTTTTCTGCTTGCAATGCAGATCGTACGTGCGTCCTGCAAGTCTCGCAGGTACTATTTGTTCGCGGCAGTTTTTCTTTGCCATTTGTGGTTGTGTACAGTTCCCAGCAACGCCTCACTTGAGATTCGTTAGTCTAAGATTCACAGTGCACGCTTGTTTCCTCTGCGCACAATGCCGCTGCACCGCTTTACAGGTTTTGCAACACGACGTGTTTGCACCATTGCAACAAAATTTTAAAAAACCTGTTACGTGAGTGTCAAATCAAACGTTGTCATGCCCAAATTTGTAAGTTCTTTTTCTCGCACGTGCCTTCGGTGTTTCCATCACACGACGTGCCTGCACTTTTGAACGCGTTTTGATTGAACTGAAGTTTTTTCTACACCCATCTAAAGCTGTTGAACTGTTGTCGACACAATGATGTAGCGATTGTATAGTTTGATGAAGCTTTTTCTGATAGAAGACCCTCGGTATTTTGCACAGAAACTGTGAACTATGTGTTTTTGTTTGTTTTTTGTCATTGTGCTAGCACTGACGCCATCCACTGCAATAAAGCGTGTGCAACAAATTAATATTGTGTCTTGGTGCACGTTCTGACTTAACAAGTGGCCTTGTTTCTTGTGTGTATGAAAGTTGCCACTAGGTGTCTTAGTTCAGCCTGCATGAGAGGCTGAGCTGCCTAGTCTTGTCGTTTACGAATACTTGCTCATAATCTGTACTAATATTGGATACGTCACTGTTGACCATGTAATCCTGCAGCATCTGTAGCTAAGAAGTGCCATCAACAGCGGGAGGTGTGCATAGAGTTTCCATTTCGTTTCACTTGGCAACACACTGCAACGAAAGTTAGAATGAGAATGTATTGAGAAGAGAGGAGACATTTGTGCGGGGTTGTTGCATCTTTATTTATATATTGTACATGGTTCCTAGCGTCGGTGCACGCAATATCTTGAAGACAGGAGCTGCTGTGGCCGCAGACTCTCATTGCCTCGTTGCTTCAAGACTGGGAGCCTCCGCTCGACGCTCCCGTTGCGCCTTGACGTTCTGATCCTGGATTTTCGGGCCAACTTGATAACTTTGCGCTGCGGCGTTCTGAGCCCGTGTCGCTTCCGTATAAGCTTTCTGCCGATGTTGATGGTTACTTTCGGCTTCCCTAGCCTGAATTTCGGGGCCCGCTTCTCGACATTTACCTTCAGCTTACTGAGCCTTCCTCGGCTCCGTCGTGGTGATGCTGCAACTAGCGTTGACGTTGTTCATGGCGTTTTGTACTCCATTGCACAGAGTGAGAATGACGGAAGCACAGCGAACGCGCGCTTTATAATGCACCGTTACACTTACATTCCATATCGGTGTACCCTTTGCGAGAGAGCTATAATAACTGCAGTGATTTGCTATGCCGCTGCTGTGGTGGAGAGGGAAGGAGGAGAGCGCACTACAGCTGTGCACAGGCCACATTTCGGAGGCCGAACCCGGTCTGGGACCGCTGACTATACCGAAGGCCCAACTCTAAAAGGCTGCGAACCCGTGTGGCCCGATATTTGAAGGTTAGTTGCGGAGGCATCAGATTTGTTTCCAATAACGTAGCATTTAAGTTAGCATATAAAAAATTGAAATGTAAGCAGATGGCACCTACCAGGCATGGTATACACAGCTTTCAAGTTGTTATAAATAAGCCATAAAATAATTATGGCATCAGTGAAGTGCAGCACTCCTGCTTCCCATATCCCGCCTGACTGAAATTCTGTTGGGTGCTCATGGTGGTAGCCGGAACTGTCAATATATTTTTTGCAGCCATAGCAAACTTGCCATATATAGACTTCTTCCTCCAAAAGTCAAGTAGCACAGATGAAAGCAGAAGGATGATTTCAATGTTCGATAATCAAAGAGCCCATGATGTGTACTCTTCGCTTTGTTCTGGAAAACAGTTTCGGCAGAAAATCTATATTTGTAGCTTGATTAGAGCCTTGCAGCTGTTCCTAGCCCGGCCCAATAAAACAAATCCCAGCATATCCACGGATTGAATGATGAGTGGGGTGAAGCGTGCGTCAATCCGTCCATGTGTCTGCTTGTCTGTCTGTCCATCTAATGAACACTTCAAGTACCGCCATCTCGTGTCTTTTTATCATATACAGGTACCGCCACCCAGCGGACAGTCCAAGGACTAAACGAGAGTATGACATTTCTGCTGTAGGCGCTTTGTAAACACCGAGAGCATGATAACGACGCCGTCTACGTTTTTCGTAACATGCGGATATGTTCCTGAGGGTGGGTGTGTGCCAAACGAGCTCGAACATCTGCCTTCCAAATTCACCGCATACGAATGGGCTAAACTGCGCCGCAGGGGGTCCAAGGATTATTGTCTCCTTTAACGGAACCTCCCGCCTGGGGATACGATTCGCACAGGTAGCGTTACAGTATGCTATTTACGAAATATAACGTGTGTACCATAGAGGATAAGGTACGATGCATGTGTAGTGGCCAATCCCTCACAATGTGTGAGACGCAGAATAAGTAGGTGAAAAAGAACCAGCGCTGATTCGGCCGGCAGGCCCTGTCGCGGGCTTAGCCAGGTGCGTTTCGCTGGGCCTATTCGAGCTGAGCGCTATCCGAGGTATAAGAGTAAAGGAAAAATTATTTAGTAAAGCATGAATACTAGCAATTCGTATTCCGTTTCAAATGATATCTGGTAGGTGGTAGGTGCTCTGTGGTATCGATATCATCATCATCAGACTTCCTAATATGGCGTAAGGTGTATTGCACTGTCCATATCTGTTGTGTGTTATATTTTTATGTGAGCGGTGCGCGGTCCTGTTCGAGTTGCGCGGTGAACGCTCGGTTGAGCTTATGTGTGCCGTAATGAAAGACTCCGCGAAGAAAGCGGCCAGCGCGTCGAAATAAGGCGAAAATGCGTCGAGCGCCGACGTCCGGGCCTGCGCTGTCGTTCAAGTGAGTTTTCTCCATAGTTACGTATTTGCGGTCGCACGCGTTTTGGGACATGCTCGGGCGTTACATTCACGTCGGGTTGGAAGTGCACGTGGCACAACACGATACTCGAGAGCCGGCCCCGCAAAGGTCGCGGGTGCGATTTCCAGCCGCATTTCTGTGGCGGCGAACGTGCGCACGAATGCTTGGTGCTTCAGTTTTTGCGCGCTCCGCGTGTTAGCAAATTGTCGTCACCATGTTGTTTTTGCCTCTAAGAAGGCCCATATTCACTCAGGGGGATCGGCCAAGAGTTGATGATTGTATGAATTTGGTAACTGCTCACTGCAAGTATCCCCTCTAAAACTTGCAGTGATGGAAGTGGTGCTTCAAAAGACAAATGCTGCTCAATACTGTTCCGAAATAGTGCTGGGAAACTGAAAACAGTGACATTTTGTCGGGGGGCGTGGCCACCCAGCGAGAGCCTGAACAAAAACAGGCCCTGTACTAGCACGTGGACAGTGCTACATGTGCTAAGACTACTTCCGCACCATAATGATCACTATTCGACGTGTGACTACCACTTTATCGGTTTCGAGCTCATTTATAGCCCAAGAACTGGCATTTCAAACGTATAGTTCATTTCGCCTGTTTTACTTGAAATTTTTCAAGGCTGCAGCTGTTTGTTGAAATGTGAAAAATAACATACGGTACTCGTACCGATTATAAACTGCTCCTTTGGCAACAGTTACATGTGGCAATGATTGCCTTGGTAATTTGGTGCTCCTATTTATCGCTTTTGTATTATATCCACCACAAGTATTGGCATTTCAAATATTAGGGAGCTCGTCTTACTTAGTGTTCAGTGGCCATTCGTGCATTTATTTTGTTGTATCAAGTGATATTTATTTGTAGATTAAGTTTGATAAGTATTCAAGAAGCTTAGATGAGGTTTTAACTCCAGGAGTCATTCGGAATATTTTGACATTTGTTTGGAAAACATCAATAGTTGCTTCAAACTTGCATTTTTTTTCTTCTTCAAAAACTCTTATGGCTGCTCCAAAGCACCATTTTTTTCTGCTCCGGAATCTGCTCCAAAAAATCACACTGTCGCTTCCATCGCTGAACTTAATTGATTGATTGATTTGTGGGGTTTAACGTCCCAAAACCACCATTTGATTATGAGAGACGCCGTAGTGGAGGGCTCCGGAAATTTTGACCGCCTGGGGTTCTTTAACGTGCACCCAAATCTGAGTACACGGGCCTACAACATTTCCGCCTCCATTGGAAATGCAGCCGCCGCAGCCGGGAATCGAACCCGCGACCTGGGGGTCAGCAGCCGAGTACCTTAGCCACTAGACCACCGCAACGGGGCCATCGCTGAACTTATCACTTGTATAATTATTACAAACCTAAAGTACGAATGGGCTGAGGATTTAAGAATTCACACATTAAAATTTTTTTTGTCCACTAAATTGTCTAAGCGCTTTCTTGATACTTATTTGCATTCTACAGTTAAAGCAATGCGAGTGTGAGCTAGTAATGGCTCAAAACAAAAAAGGTTTAGTGGCACAAAAATTTTGCCCAAACATACTCTACTTTTAACATTGTCATGGCACAAAATGAGAACTGTGCAACTGACTGTAAAACTAATTGCACAGTTGAAATCGACATAACAGCCTGTATATAAAGCAAAAATATTGTTGCCCTAGGGTTCATGTTAACACAACTTTTTTTTCTGACATGCTAGTACAAAGATTTCTTAGTTGACTACTCTGATTATGCTTATTCTTACTGTTAACTTGAAGAGGAATGTGCAGAAGTTTGCAGGGAGAGAGAAATAACTTTTATTTTGGTCTGGCACATTGATGGGGGTGTCAAACTTGCCTAGGTTGGTGGCCAATGTACTGGTGAACATGAATAGAAAGAATCGTAGATGAAGAGCGTATGTAATGTGAGAAGCAGATGACAACTGTTTGGTTGTATTTATAGAGTGGTTTCCAAGACTCATCACAATCAGCACACGAAGAAAGACAAAAAACACAAAAAAATGCACAACACAAGCACTGTTTAACAACTAAAAGTTGAAAGGAGAAAAACCTGACATATATATAACATAAAGGCTATAAAAAAAAACTTTGACACTGCCACCAAGCATGTAATCAAGTATGCCGTAGATACGCAATCCCATGGATCGGCGAAAAAAGTTCGTTGTCATTCCATACCTGTACATTGTGTCGGACCATTTAAAGAAGTTGTTGGCCAGTCATTATGACATAAACGTTGTCTTTCATGCTGGCAAGAAGATAGAGAGCATGTGCTCTAGAGTTGACAAAAGAGTGCAGAAGAGGCAGGCCACTGTCAGCGCTGAAGGTTGCTCTATAAAGCACTCTAAGCGTTTCGCTGACTTTGCAAGCGGGGTGGTGTATCAACCCCTTTGTCATGCGGTGCATGTGCATTGGGCACACGGGATGTTGCCTCAACGTCCGTCTACAGCTCTCCGAAAGGTACACCTTCCACGCATCCTCCATTGCCGGCATTGCGGCTGCGCAGCTGAGTTCAACAGAACCACTGCGTTGGTGGGGTATAGAAACCAGTGCACGTGTGAAATTGCTGAAGCGTATGAAATCATAAAAGCAGAAGACAGGTGCATGAGCCAATCTTCAATCGCTCTCACAGATGCTGAGATTGCGTTTATACAGCATGATTGATTACGTGCTTGGTAGGGGGCACCAAATGTTTTTTTTATGCCTTCATGTTATATATGTGACACATTTTTCATTAAACTTTCAGCTGTTAGACAGCGCTTGTGCCGTGCACTTTCTTGTGTTTTTGTTTTGTTTTTTTCATACGCCAATTCGCATGAGTATGTTCCAACTAGCCCAGTTTGCTACTTCACTGCGATTTCCAAGACAACAGAAACGCAGTTGAGTATGGTAGTTGACTAATTGAGTGTTATGCAAGGATAGGAAATCGCAGAACAAGACAGGGCACCAGCTAATATAAGGCATTGTTAACAGATCAATAGTGAATAGTTACCTATAAATTTACTAGGGGGAACTCTGGTGCTAGTGTCTATGGGAGCTACAATGCAGGGCGCTTAAGCCAGCGTGGGAATGATGGGTAGTACACTGATCTGTGTAATCTTCGTTCTGTTGGCTGCATCGAGCTTGAATCTGCTTTGCCGCAAGACGAAGTTCAGTAAAGGTTAAGCAGTTGCGCTTCACCTCCTTGACCTTTTGAGGCTCACCACTTGGAATTGGCTCACAAAGGTCACACCGGTCCATTCTTTTATTCGAAAGAAAACCAAAACCCAACCATAAACAAAGCCACAAGTGCATTTGAAAAGCCCGTAAGCATGAAGACGAGGCAAATCGGTGTACTACCCATCATTCCCGTGGGTGAACGATCGCAGCGCCAGGTTCCCTCTAGTAAATGTTGTAAGAAACTCTATGCCATTGTGGAGGCATTTTGTTTTGTAGCGTATGTAACTAGGTTGATGGTGAACGAAAAAGACAACACGGATACTTTTTCAGTGGCTGGGCTCTCTTTATGCCATTTATATGGCATGAAGGGTAACTATGTGTGCTTCTTATCTGTATTATGGCAGGGATATAGGAAATGTTTAGCTTGGCTGTAACTTGTAAGATACGTGTGCTAGGATTAGGATTTACCTGATGAGGTTGTTTGGCATTGAATGCACCCAATTTGTCTGCCAGTTCGGTTACTGAAAATTAATGTGTGGAATGGTGACAGGGAATCGCATTGTTTTGTTTGACAGATGGTGTACTGAATGTTGTTTCATCAGCTTCGTGACCTGCTGGTCTTTAACCTAACTATAATTTTGGTAGTGCCACCTTGGCGCTGTTCATTCTCATGCAGAAACAAGATGTTGTTGTTGTTTATTCAAAAATAGATACATTTTTTATGAATGCATTTTTTGCATGGCGATTGAACAATCGGAGGTGCCAAAGTAAAAACTGTCAGGGCGACTTCCTAACAAAAATTAAAAAGAGGATTAGCTTTTTAGTAAGCAAACAGCGACAAAATCAGAGCAATATTTAAAAGAAAGTGGTGCAAAAACGTAGGGCCATATGAGCAATAGTGACAATTTGCCTGAAACAAGGAAACCCAAAAGAAAACATTCAAGTCATAAGTTTTTTAACAATAAGACTTTCAAGCGCTTACTAAAGGAGTACATAGAGCATGATTTGAGATCAACAGACAGCATGTTCCACAGTGTTATGCATGAAAATCCTGCCGTCATTTGACCACAGTTGGTACATACTTTAAGTAGAAGTAGATTACGGTTAGCTGAAAACCTCGTGTTGTTAGTATTTACAAGAGTAACTCCTGAGAAACTGGAAATGTATAATTCATTATTAAGGATACGAAACATGATCATTAGAATTTTGTAGCTGAAGAGTTTATGCAGAGGTAAAATGTTCATGTTGCTAAAAAGGGGGGCTGATGGTGATGAAAATGGTTTGAAAATAATGAGTCTCAAAGCTTGCTTCTGCAATCGTTTTAGATGATTTACATGTGACCAATATGTATTTCCCCATGATGATACGCAGTATGACATGTGACTATGAATGAATGCGTAATATAATGATAAAAGGATTTCAGTGGAGAAATAAGGTCGTGTTTTGATGATCACATGAATACCGAAAGACACCTTTTGAGTTAAGGCCTGCGCATGCTAGCTGAATTTCAAATGTTTATCTAATACCACACCAAGAAATTTTGTAGATGAAAATGCACGAATGAAGTGTCCATCAAGTGTCACTGCTAATGAAGCGATGTTTGGAAACAACTGCAGGGAATGGATTACCATGAAATTAGTCTTTGATGGATTGATGAGTAACAGATTCGATACACACCATGAATGAACGCTATTTGAGTCGACATTTAGTGATTGTTGTAGCATGAGTGGATCCTTGTGTGCGGTAAAAATAGTAGTGTCATCAGCGTAGAGAAGAGCGTTAGTGTGATTCAGACGAAGTGGTAAGTCATTTATAAATAAC